TATTTTTTATCTATCTATATCTATACTACTCTAAAAGGACGAGTGTTTTTGTAAAAATATGAACTACCTAAAATAACCTTACTTTGACATATTTTTAATGACAAATTAGTAATACAGTAATACATATTTTAATTTATATTTTTAATTAAAAAAATGAATTACCTACAAAACCCCTACTTTAACATGTTTTTAATGGCAAATTAGTAATACACTAATACCTATCATATCTTATAATTTTAATTAATAACTAATGCTTAATTACTTAAATACAAATACATGAAAAATACATTTCACATCTCCTAAAAATCAAACACAATATTCACGCACCATTATTTCTCACGAAATTGCTTTCTTCCACATATCTCTCAAAAATCAACCTAACATCAACCTAAACAATAAAATTTTGAAAAGATATAGAATTGTTGTTTTAAAAAAAAAAAATCATTGTTTTTAGTATAATTTCATACATTATCTGACAAACTAGAAAAGTTGAACAATTCATTTAACTACTTCATCATTTAAGAAAAGTAAAATCTTATATTTAGAATTAGAATAGAAATTGCACTTTAGTCTTACTGGATGGAATTTTGATCCCACAAAAATCGTCATTTGTTTGTTTGTTTGTTTTTTCCAATTTTACTCACAAAGTGAATAAAATTAACGAATTTTCACTTGACCATTAAATGGTTAATATCAAGGTGAGTAATATTTTAATTATTAACACTTAAAATATATGAATTTTACATTCAATAATTAAGTAAAATATCATGAGATTTTAATTATTTTTATTTTATATGAGCCACTGATTTTAAAGATGTGTGCTAAATAAAAGAATGATTTGAAAGTAGAAAACATAATAAATCTGATGAATAACATTAAAAATATAATTAAGGTGTAAGGCTTGCTAATAAATATGAAAACAAATAATAAATAAAAATTTTATAATTAATAAAATTAAACATAAAACTTTTAAAACTTATATTTATCGATGTAAATGAATCGAATTGTTTATTTATTTTTATTTTTTTGTGCTTATTAGTTCTATGTGTAACTTTTAGGTGATAGATAATAGTTATTTGTAAATTTATCCATGTAGGTTGAAAATTTTAATATTTAAAAAATGATTATTTTAATTTAATAAATTTTTATTTGCTATTAGTTTTTTTAATATAATATATAAATATCATATTACAATATAAAATAATAATTATTTTCGTTATTTAATATTAATACGTAAAAAGGTTGTAATTCAATTGAGAAATTAATAGGTAATCTTGAGTTAAAATAACGAGTGATTTCTAAAAAGTTATATAGACTAAATATTTCATGTGTTTAATATATTTTTAATAAAAAAATTGTAAACACAATCAATTAATAGAAAAACTACAACATAAAAATTTTAATATTTAAAAAGGAATGCAAAAAATAAAATGTTATGTTGCAATGAAAAATCCAACGATAAGATGTTCCACTAAAAATTCTAAAGGATATTTCATTTGCATAGCTTTCATTTGAAAATATCATTGACTATTCCAACATAGATCAAATTATATTATAATGGAATTTTAATGGATTTTTATTTCTTGTGTGAATTTTCTTTTTGGGAACATATCAATGAAAGTTGCATTGGAAAGCTAATTGCAGTGATAGATACATACAATTTCATATTGGGGGCACTATTTAGCTAATGGAAAAAATATACCATCAAAATAACATAATGTCATTACAATATTTAAATTTTACTTTTCAAAATTTGTCATCTTTCTCATTTGTAATACATGTTTACAAATCTTTACAGTTACAATAAGTTAAAAGTATTAAAAAAAATATATAATTTTTCTCAACTAAAAGTAAGAAAATCATTGAAAAAAATATATCTTTTAAAATCTGATGAACAAAAAATTTATGTTGTAGTA